TGGATATTTAAACAGTTTAGGGCGACTAGAGTGATCTAGTCATACGCCAAAAGAAGAGAGAAGTAGTTGTGCCCTCTGTTTGTATATACCTTGGCCAAGTCATAACGCTCTATCAGTTTAGGTCTTCTGACCTTAGGCCTGCCTAAGATGGACTCGCTCTGTAAGTTCAGGTGGCCTGACCTATGCCTTATGTAAGTTGGGTATGTAGAGATAACTCACAGAGGGAACATGAACTATTGTTTGTTAAAGAGCTTTGGATTGTTGAGAGTACTTACCTTTATGGTTTGACCTGGATGTGGCTGAGTGAGATTACTACTTGGGTTGGGTTTCAGGTTCACAGGTAGTTGCTTTAGGGGCTCGCCACGTGCTAGAGTGATAGGAGTTAGGTCAATTCCTGCATTTTCTGAGCTAACTTTATTTTTACTTAGATCAATTCTCGCATTTTCTGGGATCTTTTGTTATACTTGACCTTGTATAAATTTTGGTAAGCTACTTTCTCTACGGGAAGCGCTGCCGAAATATCTATAGATCCAGGGAGTTAGTTAATTCTTGAATTTTTAGAGTTCAACTTGTCTAAAGTTCATTCATGACTTAGTAAAAATTTGGGAAGTCTCCTTTTTTAAAAGGAGTGCTGCCCAAATTTTTGCTAATTCAAGGAGTTAGACAAAATTGGACTCTGGGAAGTCAAATACTATTTCTGTTTTCATATTCGGGCTGATATGAATTATGAAAAGACACTTTTCCTACGGGAAGCGCTGCCGAAATTTTCTTGATTTAGAGGAGTTAGATTATATTTTGACAGGTGGCGACCCTGAGAATCCACCATGAGTAGGGGAGATTCTGCCATTAGTCTACCTTTGCTTTGGGCACTGGCGTAGAGGTAGGCTTGGACTTAGTTGGCCGGTGGTTTTGAGTGAGAATGTGCTATGGAGGTTTATCCCCCATATGCTGATGATTTAGCGTGGGCATTTGACCTATCTTGTCTTACAGGTCCCTTGGGCTGTCTGATTCAAGCTCAGGACTAAATTCAGCTTGATCCCTCGAGGGTCGTCTTCTGTTATCACTGATATCAGGTCGGTTGCCGATTCGTCGGTTTACGATTCATTTCCAGTTCACCCCTTTCACTCAACCTAAAGGCTTTAGCCTTGTGATTGAACTGTTTTGTTGTGTTTTCGCCCGGGCTTTATTGAATGACCATCCAACAAAAGTACTGAGTATTTATTTAAGAGTTGCACGAGTGAGGTTTGTATGGCTAAAGCGAGGGGTATGAGCGAAGGGAATGGTTGGAGTTGACCCCGTGTAGTGCGTAAACTTCTTATTGAAACTTTGATGTGATTGCAGGTATATTTGTGGTTCCGCTTCTGGATGTGACTGCCTGCGATTACATGCATATATGGCTGAGAGGAGTCTCACTGTGACTGTGAGAAGGGATCATCCTATACAACTAACCCTGATATATTTACGAGTATCCTGAGTATTCGAGAGATCTGATGTATCTGTGCATAAGGGCTAGCCGGATTGTGACTTGAGAGAGAAGGAAGACCCTCTATTATCCTTTGCTTTTTGGAGTTTGTATGGTTGGACGTTGTAGTCCGTGACAGCCGTCAAAGTCAAACCCCTTGACTTCCGCCCAGGCCTGGAGTAGGACTCATCCCAGGGCCGCAAGAAACGACTCCCACCACAGGTGCGGATCTTTGTACCACCCACTCTGCATAAGGTGCAGAAAAGGGTGTGTGTTCTTCAACCGCGCATGACGGTTGTCCAACGTCGAGAGATTTACCCTCAAGGCACGTGTCAGCCGACACTTGAGTGTCGAATGCGATCCTCGAGATTAACGAGGGCCGCACGATTATGGGCATTACATAGTACGCCATCATTGCGGCTGTTTGCGCACGTTTGCATTGCGAGTCGATATGAGATAGCCTTGTGTCCGCGCGGTTTTATACGAAGTCCCGCGCGCGACGCCTATTCGATTTCCACGTCGGAAAGTTATGGGACGACTAGAGAAGGGGCTAGGAGCGTGGTCGCGTTGTTTGTGTTGTGTCGTTTCGTGTGTGTGTGTTTTATTTTTGTGTTCTTAAAGTGGTGTGCGCGTGGTGCGTGGGATGCGTCCTAGTCGACCGACGTCGGGTCGCGCTTGGGACTTCAGCCCCCCAAGATGTCGGTTCGCGTGCGGGCCCGATAGGCGTATTACCGCGCGTACCCCTTATGCTACAACGAATGAGAAACGCCCTCGGTTGGTCCACCTCTGCGATTGCAACTGATTAACTTTCGTAATGTGAACTGGTAGCTCGGCGGGGATACGCCCATCGAAGGGAGGTGATAGCTCCCGTAAGGTAGAGGTAAGTTGTGCCTCGCGTAGGCCTTATCCTGTCGTCGGGGCTCGCGAGAGGTATGGCTGGCACACTCGGCCGGAGCGGCCTAAGGAAGCTCCATTTGTGTGTTCGCGGCAAGGTTGGTCCAATTCCTGCGTGACGCGGCCGAGAGGGTCCCGCGCTGCGACGTGCGGTGCTAGACCGATGCGCTCGACAGGTGGCACCGTTTCCGGGGATAACGGTTGCCTACCGTTGTCCCTGGTGGAACGACACCCGGGTAGATTGAGAGAAAATCACGCATATATGAGAAATTTTGAGATTTTGTGTGATAGATTGCGAAAAGTTTGTATGAGTGTTTAAGTAAAAGGTTATGAAGATTCCGAATTTCTACCTTCGATTTGGCGGAAGGATCAGCTAGACAGATGGTGCGATGAGATTGCTAAAAAGGGAGGAACGGACTCTAGTTAGACGAGCCTAGAGTCTAGAATTGAGACGAGTGGTAGTGATTGACTGGGCTTGGGTTCGTGCCAAGATTGTGTAAGGGAGTCCGGTAAGTATTAAGTAAGCCGGATTGTTGGGTGAAGTGTTATTATCCTCTCCTTGTTTGTATAACGGGCCGATTGAGAGAGACGATGCGTTTGGTGAAATATGAGTGACAGGGGAGTGATAAGTGTGCTGACTATATGCGGATGTAATCTGCTTACGACCTTCAAGTTGATAGTTGATGGGATGGGACGATGCCTTGCCCAAGTGGCATGGCTAAGGAAAGGTGAAGCAGCATCGATAAGGCTAAGCACGTTTATCCATGGATATGGTTGTCTGAGGTACTTATTATGGCCGTAAGGGTCTTTACATCAACATGGTATTTCTGCATTTGCGTGAGACCAAGGCTAAGTAATTGATCCTAGAGGCAGTTGGAATGGTAGTGGGTGGGATCTAACGTTTAGATTATTCTGTTAAGTCGTAAGTTGGACCCTTGCTTGAACCTTTCCAGGTTAGGGCCATTCATTTCGGGAGCTAAGGACTTGAGATCAAATTCTTGAGGGCATTCCCTTAAGTTATATATTGTAAGCCTAGTCCATGTTTATTTACGTAAGGGATACCTCTTTCGGAAGTACTCCATGGGGGCTATTTATCTGATTCATATTGGGATCTTATCAGTCTGTAGGAATTATATGAATGTTTTCAGTCCAACATTTGGCTCATGATTGGCTATTTAGCCTGTACGTTTGGGGCGCTCTTCCGAGAAGGGTAGGGATTGTTAGTTTAATAACGGAAGGCGCGTGCTGGACGTTTGTTTGTGATGGGCAGAACCTAGATAAAGCTAAGGCAACTCAGGATGCCTTATGCACGGGAAGACCCACGTATGCTCGGGCCGGTTGAGGAAGAGGGAGGGCTCGAAGTGTCTTTACCCAGGCGGGTCAGAGCAGGAGAGTACTTCTCTTCATGGTGGGGCATGCTGATAAGCACGGACATCTTTGTCTGGATCGAGTCGGGGTTCGATGATGAGCAGGAATGCGCAATTATAAGGGTGACCTTGTACGCCTCTGCCAACTTTTGGATCGAGCATGGGATAGAGTTGGCGCTCGGGGCATGGGAGCCTGCTTGCTAAGCCTTTGAGGGTACCCGAGGCAGCTGCAGCTAAATGGGCGAGGGAAGTGTCCCGTGATAGGGAAGAGCGAGTGATAACCCGCGTAGGGGTCAAGCGCGTTGAAGAGTTTAGGCTTCCATTTGCTCCTCTACGAGTAATCCTGCCTGAGTTTCTGATAGACAAGAGTTTTGGTGGACAGGCAAGGATAGAGGCGGCAGCAGAAGCGGCTTTGAGGGCTCGAGGATGGGAATATGGGCGATATACATGCGAAATGATATATGGGTTGTATTTAGACCTGAAGTTTTCGCCCCCTAGGCAGTGGCTTAGAAGCATGGCCAGCATAGTTGACGTATATGCCAGTATTCATGATCCAGATGAGGGGGGTGAAGACTGGGATGAGATACGGGCAGCAGTGGACCGATAGGGAATGCCCTCTCTTCCTGCTAAATGCGCTTCGTCTGACTTGGCTGTGGTCGCCCCTCTACCCATTACCGTAGTTATGAAAGTTAACGTCAGGGTAACCAGGGGTTGAGGCCTGGTTGTATGAGTAAAGGAGCAGATAGCGGGATTTAAGTGTTAGCAGTCTGCCCTTATCTGCCTGAGCTTACTGAAATCATTGTTTGATGGTCTATTGCCCGCTGTGCGTATCAGGCTGCTGTCAGCGCCATGGCGGGAGAAAGCGGCTTCGCCAAGATCCTGCTTTGGAGGAATTCATGCCTGTTGAAGGTGTTGCTGCACGAAGTGTTGCAGGCGTCAATGTCCCCAAATCTCCGCGCCCTGTTGTTCCAAGGAAGGAACCTGTCTAGCTTTCTGCGTGACTTTCAAGCTTTTAGCCTTACGAAGATGTGGGACAAGAAGGCGATGTGGTACATGTTCCCCTTGTTCGTTTGTGAAGGACTAAGTGAGGAGGTGTACACCCTCATGCTGAAGTCGCAAACCTGGGATGAGCTGGAAGTTTCTCTGAGGTTGAGGTTCCTAGAGGATGAGGCGGAATGCAGGCTTGGTAAGGGCTCTGAGCAGCCAGCCGAGGCCGCGTCAACGCAAGGAGAGCTGAGCGGTATAAAGAGGCAAGTTGGGATACTGGAAGAGAGGTTGACGCAGTTGGAAGAAGCCAGGCATGGCGAGAGAAGGACCTTCAAAGGAGCACCTAAAGGACCGGCTGAGTAGGGTGAGGCGGAGGTAAGGGAAGACCATCAGGAGTCACTCCTCCACAAGAAAACCCCGAAGGGACAAGTTTGCGCCCTAGAAAGAGATGAGGAGGAGGGGGTCATCGAGATCAAGGAGGAGCGAGAAGCTAGTATGACCCGACCCGGTATTGCGCCGGAGCCGAAGGGAGGGCCCATTGACGAAGAGGCACCCTCGACTGCGGGTCGGGAGAGGCAAAGGAGTAAGTGGTGGCCAGAGCATTGGGCAGAAGTGGTATGTGATCGTTGGGGAGAGATTGGTTGCACCCCTCAAGAAGGCAAGGAAAAGAGGGTGATGGGTGAAGAAGGGGAGCCTGAACCTCCCAAGTTGACGAAGGCTCAGCGGAAGGCCAGGAATCGGGCCCAGGGGAGCCAAGGTACCGGAAAGGGGCGGGGCATGCCGCAGGGAGGGTCCACCCCGCAAGAATTGGGAGGAAAGCTAGCACAGGCAGGGCCCCCACCGACTGAGCAGACATTATACGGGCCGTGGACGCCATACGGTCAGGTGGGAACAAGGCCCATATATAATTCATATCTGCCCTGTGTACAAGGCGTTTGTTTGGGCCCACAAATGGGTATGATGCCACCCAGGCCTCCTGCAGTCCAGTTTCAGCCAGTCTTGTGTATGGGGCCATTGCAGCCACCGACACCACGAGCGACGGAAGGCCAAGTGGCCGGTGGAAGGGGTCAAAAGCGAAAGGTTGAAAAGGGTTGTAGGGACGAGGGGCACGAGAAGGGGGAATGTGGAGGCGGCAAGGGTGGCTATGGAGGAAGGAAAACGGATTGGGGAAAGGACATTTGCAGACATTGTGCCAAGGAGGGGCACATAATAAAGTTTTGTCGTGAGCGAAGGGCCGATGAGGCAAGTGGTCTAATAAGGACTGACATCGAGGGACGTGTTTTCGACAGGACGGGGGAGTACATCGACCCAACCATCCCAGGGGGAACACGGAAGGAGGTTTTGCGGAGAAACAGGGCATCGAGCACTGCCTCATGAGTATAGTCGGGAAGAGGAAGCGTTTGTGTGAAAAGGACCTGGAAACTTGAGCAGACTGTAGATATAAGTAGGAATCCCCAATTATATAGCTGAGGCACAGCGTACAGGGGGAAGGGACTTCCGTAATAATGGTCCGGTAAGGTGGCGTGAGCTGTAGACAGGAGGGGCCCCAAATAGGGCAACTGTATAGGTGGGAAAGGTTAGATCCGTCGCGCGTCACGTTATTGGGATATCTTAAGTAGATGAAGCCAGGAGTGACCCTGAGGGCATGGTTATGAAATAGGGGTTGTTCCATTAGGCCTATTGATCAAGAGAAGGAGATATGGGACCTACCGTGTGCCTAGGCCTAGACAGATGTATAGGGGTGAGAGGTAGAAGAGGCTTGGGAAGAAACCTCAGTATGTGGGGGATAGGCCATCTAGCCTAGGGAAGTAGTTGGAGGACTGGTGTATGGGTGACTCCTAGCCTTACTTTTCTTTGGATATCTGGGTATATGCTGGATTACTTGGGTCCCTCGGATTGAGAGGTATGACTATGCCCTGGTCGAAACTGTTTTAGTGCGGCTCTGATCAGGGAGGCCGCATTGTCCTTGTGTGATACTGGTGACGACTTGAGTTGAGATTGTTCAACTCCGAGTATATATATATGTAGGTCGAGAACATTTGGCTCGCGTCTGAGTTGGGGTGTTGTACCCCTATGTATATATTGAGTTGAGGTTTTATCTGAGACTATTCTTTGTATATGACGATCACAATCACTCTCAAATGTGTGGGTTATCCTGATGCATGATGGCTTTGTGTGAGAGATGTGTGAGATACATCTCATGTGTATTGGATTGGGTGGATTTCATGAGAATATATGGGTGTGAACTGTCTACTCTTCGGTATACTCGTGCGGCCTGCCTACAGGCAGGACAGGGCCGAGTATAAGGAGAGGGAGTGCAGTCTGTCATTGTGAAAGTGTGAAAATCCTAAGGGATTTTGCGAGTCTTTGAGGCTCGAGTACTTACCATGCCGGATGTTTTATGGTTAAGTTGCGAAAATGGCCCATAAGCAGGCCCCTCAGTTGAGTTGGTTCGTGATTGAGTTGTGGAGAGGGCCCATAAGTAGGCCTCTCAAGTTGAGTTTTTGTGGTTGAGGCCCCTTCAGTTGAGGAAGGAGGTAGTGTTGTCTATTGGAAGACTCATCTTCAATAGGGAAGGTGTTTAAAAAGGGTCGTGTGATAGCTCATCCTAGAAAGAGAGGGATGGCTGGGAGACTTACTAAGAGAGACCTCCTTCGTGCGAAAGGTGGTTAACAGATCTAAGGGCATGGTTAGCAGTGTTTGAGTTGATAAAGCCTGACGGGAGGAACCAAAATTACAGACTGGATCATTGGTGGAACTGAGAAGGTCGCAAGTCAGTGCATTAAGATGTCGTGGGATGTGTGGGTTGCTGTCTCTGATCAAGTCAGTAGGCCACGGCCTTGTGTATGAGCCTGGCGGTGAATCTGTTCGTGATTGTGAAAAGGAGTCATGCTTCATATGTTGTCCCGTAGGGAACTGGTAAACGCCTTTAAAGTGAGACAGACCCCTGCGTAGTCCCGCAGTGGGTCTGTGGTCTGTTTTGCGACCCACCGTTCAGACACTTGTGCTAATCCCAAGGCATGTTGAGGAATACCAAGCTAAACGGTAAAGGTTAGCACCTCTAGGGCGTAACCCCTATTGGATGATTGCAAGTCAGCACAACCTGGCTGCGGACCCACGTCTACCAACGGGGTAAGAGTTTAAGGGGTTACGCACGCCCCAGGGAAATTACTCCGGTGGGATGACGGGGGATATGAGTCGTTTAAGTCATCCTGATTGAATGTTTATCAGGAGGATGCCTATCGTTGCATAACCAGCGAAGGAACTGTCGCTAAAATAACAATGCGGTGGGTCGTAGTCCTGGTCCGATCAGCCGGGCTATGGTGGGCAAGATGGAGACCTAGCCTTTCTGTACTAGACTGCAGAAAGGGCTGAGTGGATATTAAGTATACGAATATATGTATGTGTATTTGATTGCGAGAGATTTTCTGAGAAGGGAGGCCAAAGTGCCTTCCAAGGTCTCGGTTAAGGCCCGCGTCCCTAGTTTTGGCCAGGACTAGGGACACCCAACGAGAAGTCGAAGGTTGTCTAGGACCGGGGAGAGGACGACTGGGAAGGTCTTTGAAACTTATGCTGTAGTATTGATCCGTAATACACCGGCGCCCTATTGTCAGAACGAATAGAGACCCATGTTAAAACCCTGACAGCATATAGTTGTGGAGGCATGGTTTGATGGAGGCCTCTACCCTGTGTTTGTCGGCTAATCGGATTTAGCTCCTTTCTCGTCAGCATTTGGAATGCGAATGGATTTATAGCTTTCTGATTTGGCGAAGCGATGGCGACGTCGCTTAATATGGTCCGGTAAGCTGTCGGCGCGAATACCTTTACAAGGGTATCCGCCCTGTTTTTTGCAAACGGCAGAAAATAGTTTGGTTTAATATACTACGCTAGGTGTGGCGGCGTCTGTAATTTATGTTGATTGGATGGTTGAATAGAGTAAAGAGTGCGTGGGCGCGCAGGTTTAAGGCGCGCGTGATTCATCCCCTGAGGTTGATTACGAAACCGGCGTGGGCGCCGGTTTGTTTATTTTATATTTTTTATCTTTAAGTTTTATTTTTTTTTGTTACTCCTGATTAAACTAGGGTTTAGGGGATACCTTTTTTTGATGGCTACGCTTGACTGAGTCGAGCGCGCGTGAGAGGGTCGACCCCGACGACGACATCGACAATGACGGCGCGACTTTGTGCGGTGAGCGGGGTGTCGTGGGATGGCACGCGGGGCGATTACGGTACACGATATAAGCAAGCCGGCGCGAGCACTGGGCGCCGCTTAGCCGGTTTGATGGCCCAAAGCGCCACGCCGCACTGCCTTGTATGGTACTCTGCGGGGGCTGGTCTCAGGCTTGGGCATAGCCATGTAGGTTACGACAGCGGATTGTTACTATGGAGGTTCGGAGATTGAGGCCAGCGGGCGCAGACGCGGCGGCGGCGGAGTAGCGTGGAGCCAAAGCCTGAGGGGTTGAGGGCCCTGAGGGGCGATTCCCCTCGGTTTTGTTTTCGGGCGTGGCGGCGGGCCCGATCCGCGGGACTGGCGAGATGCAAGCAGCCCCGCGGTTTTCCCCGATATTATTGTTATCTTATTTTATTTTCTTTTTGTGTTTTATTTACCGCGTCTCGTTCGGGGACGCGAGCCCGCGTGAGGGTACGTTGTATTCGCGAGATTGCCTGGCATGCAGCGGCAAGTAGTCTTCATGGCCACAACGAAGTTAACCCGTTGTAATGTTTTGGGGGACTTCGTAGCAGCCACGTTCATGCTCAAGCTTCCAATGAGGGAGCTTGCAGGAGCTGTACCCACCAGCAGGTGCGATACCGCTACGGCAAGTGGGCGATACCGGCTGGGGTTCAGCCGATAGCATCACGATTGAGCCTCTTCGATGGGCCAGTCATTGTGCCTCCCCTCCGGCCCCTCCCCCTATGAGCATCAGGGGGGGCTTCGGCTCAAGTGCCACTCGGGAGGACCGCACCTAGACGTAATAGCAACGGCAGGCATAGTAGGTGTGGGGCAGGTCGGAGAAGTAGCTAGCAGAGGGGACAAATCCAGGCGCATTTTCGCGCCGGATCCAGACGGGAAGTGGGTTGGGTGCGTACGGAGTACAGACTCTGAGGAAAAAGGTTGGACGGCCTTTGGGAAAGCCGCGGGGCGTCGCCCCGGCCACGTTCTTCGGGGCATCCGTTAAAATTCAAGCAGCACAGGGGAGATCGGCGTGGCCGCTGGGCGCGGGGGGCACATATAAAGCCGAGCGTGGGTCCGACA